TGGAATTGTGGAATGCCCCTTCCGTACCCCTACCCCCCATTCCCCCACCTCCCAGTTTCCAGGCAGACCCAAAGAAGCCTATCGGCGGTCACATTCTGGCGCACGCTTCTACCACCCGGGTCATGTTGAGGAAAGGACGGGCGGAGAACAGGATTGCCAAGGTCTATGACAGGTACAACTCTATGAGTTTTAGTCAGTTGGTGTGTCATGTTGTAACCCAGCCAACCCCTGACTCCTCCTCCATCCGTCCAATATTCATCCCAAGTGGTGTCGGTCAATTAAACACATAAAAGTAAAGAAGGAAGCTGAGAGAAATGGTACAATAACTAGAGATACAATGTTGAATGCAAACACATTCTAATTCTAAAAGAAGCAGGGGAAGGAAGTGGAAAACAAACGATGGACATTAGACAATATTACTGTATTAAAAGGACGTGAGAGCCTTTAGTAGAGACCCTTGCCCTAAAGGAAACGAGAAAAAGAGTACTGAAAAGTTACATCGAACCAATCCTAGTATACGGGTGCGAAGCATGGACAATCAATAAACAGCTGGAAAGAACAATTGTGGCAACAGAGTTGTGGTTCATAAGACGCATGCATGCTACGTATCCCATGGACAGCTAGAAAAACAAATGAAGAAGTCTTGGTTGAAGCAAATTGTACAAGACAGCTTATTACGAATAAGAAAGCGACAGGCAAATTTCTTCGGACACAATGCGGAAAGAAGCATTGGCGAATATTGTAACAACAGGCACGTTTGATGGAAAGAGAGGCAGAGGCACACAGAGGGAAAAGATACTGGACAAGATGATAACATGGCTAGGAGCAGCAGGAACAACAGACACCATCGCTGCAACGCAAGACAGAATGAAGTGGAGGTCCATGATCGCCCACGCCAGTCGTCAAGGCACCGGATGATGATGACATCGTCTCTGCCTTCAGTCCCCCTTTCTTCCTTTTATTCTACCCACGGGGCTAAGTTTGTTATGTTTGAAATGACTAATTTCTGTCCAATAGGGCGGTAAGTTTAACTTTTACAAAAAGAGGAACAATGAAATGTACTATAAAACAACAGGAGATTTTATTTCGAAGACGAAACCCACCCCTTCCAAAAGGTTCAGTACATGGCCACTTTACTGTCTCCTTCTCCTCCTCCTCCTCCTCCTCCTCCTCCTCCTCCTCCTCCTCCTTCTCCTCCTTCTTCTTCTTCTTCTTCTTCTTCTTCTTCTTCTTATTATTATTATTATTATTATTATTATTATTATTATTATTATTATTATTATTATTATTATTATTATTATTATTATTATTAACTGTCGGTACCTGTCTGTGCATTAGCGTTTGGTATTGTCAATATCCTAATGCACCCATAAAAAGTTATAAGTCTAATAGTAACAGAATAGATTATATCTTCCATTCGTTTGTTTTGTAAGAATTGAATGTGATACTAGACCAAATGAAGTCGTTTCGAAGACGGGGGTGACATCATGATGCCATGGGAGGCTGGGCAAATGTACTGGCGGTGCCGAGAAACGTGAAAGAAGGGGCGGCATACGAGTTGTTCACCTACCTGTAGTGGAAGAGTGGCATCTCCTGTTTGTGGAACAACCAAGGAGATTAAAAGTAATGGAGGATGCTCTGTGGGCGGCACCGCACGCCTGATAGGAGCCCTCTCTCGCGGCGGAACTGTGGGCTACCTGCGCTGCGCGAATGCTCGACTTACGCACTGAAATCTAGATAATATAAGAAAGAAGGTTTTATTGCGAGGTCCTTCAGATTAGGCAAGTCAATTAGTAAAAATGCCTTGCACCTGTGTTGTATTTAAGTGCAAGAACCGATATGATGCTGCAGTGGACCGAAGTTTTTTCACAGTTAAGTTGTTTTCCTTTTTAAAAGTTTGAATGAAAGTGTTTTTATGCCCCCCAGCAACACAATTTAGATCATTAATACACTGTATTCATAAGAGGCTGGCTCCGGCGCTACCTGCCAAGGCCAACCCAGGCTGAAAGGGATACAACACTCTAGCAGAAAGACCAAGATACTCCATTTTTAAAAAGTATTCTTATTCATAAATATAATTATTATGTATGTATATATACATATATATATATATATATATATATATATATATATATATATATATATATATATATATATATATATATATATATATATATATATATATATATATATATATATATATATATATATATATATATATATGTGTGTATGTATATATTATACATTTTAATTAAAGATATTGCTTTCCATTGTGTGTGCAAATTAGATGCTACTGTTGTCTAAATGTAGATATCTAGAGGCTCCATTAGAATATGAAATCAATACTCAACTACAATAATGATGAATATTTTCTATGTTAAAGAAACACCAAACCATATCAGATGAGGAGAGAGGGTAGGGTGGGGTGGATAAGAGTTTGAGTCTTGTTTGATAGAACTATATTCGGTTTAATTCTATTGTTGTAGTCTTCACCTAAGATCCCACAATCAATAATTCCGGTTCACTTAAGATTCTGCTGTTAAAAAATGAAGCAAACAAAGCAACAACAAATTTTACTACACAAGAGTCATCACTAAGATAAATTATCCCCCTCTGGAATGTAATAAGGGGCTAAAAACGCTACTCTCCATATCATACTTTACTGAACAAAAAAAACCCCAACCCTTCAAAGGTCATCCACGCTCATGCACGCGATCACACCTCCAAAGGTGCTGTTATCTCTTTTTTTTTAAATATTTGAAATCATTGTGCGCTCCACTTTGGGAAAAGCAGGAAACAAAATTATTGTAATCAATAATATTATTATTTATAGACCAAGACATACTGTTAGCACTCAGATAAAGCTGGCATCGACCCTCTTTATTAGTGTTCGCTATTCCTTACACATAAAGTTAGTTATGGCACACGCCTAGAATCATGCAATCGTATCTTAAATTCAGTTTAAAAGTATATTTTTATCCATTTCTTATAATTAAATATTTTAGCATCTTGAAAGATTATCTTTATAATTTGGTATGTTTGATAATTTCATGTTACTTCTTATTTTACACATCTTTTTGATTTTTAAACTAGATTATAACATAAAACTCTTAAAGAATTGAACAGTCCGTATCACACACAGAATTTATTGGGTTTTTTCTCCCTGTCATTATCTGTCAGCCCGTCAGTTGATCACAATCTCTCTCTCTCTCTCTCTCTCTCTCTCTCTCTCTCTCTCTCTCTCTCTCTTTTATTTAAGTTTTCCCATTCTCCTTCGTCCCTTCCCAAGGCCCGCCCCTCCTCTTTCATCCCAGCCCTCAGCGTACAAGAAACCTTGCGTGCATTCCCCCACCCCACCCACGCCCACAACGTGGCCCAGCCCGATAAGATTCTATAAAATGAAACGCCACAGTTTGTGATTTAGCCCACAGTCGGTCGCCGTCTAGACGGTCAGAGAACGCCGTACTTGACCCCCACCGCGGCGTACTGCTCGTGGCGCCGCGAAGAGAGAGAGGAGGCTCCATTAGTCCTAAACTCCTTGGGAACAACGGATATCCGATCTATACCCCCTAGTCCGCGCTTAGGCCCGCCAGTTCTCATACCATTATTACCATGCGGTTGGCAATAAAATAATTTTTTTAAAGTGGGTGTTTTCACGCCTACACAATTTAGATCATTAAGGGGCCGGGCTTCCGACCCTGTCAGCAATTCTCCTCTGATCTTTGCTGTCAGGGCCAACTCGAACTGAGAAGAATACAACTTCCCAGCAGAAAGACCGAGATACTCAATAAGAATTTCTTCCCTCTCAGAAATCGAACTCGGGTCTCCTGCGTGCGACAGTGAAGCGCCTAACCGATACACCAGTCATGATTTGTTTTTATCTTAATTGTCATGTTTAATACATGTTGTCTTATTATCAATGATAACCTCATGTTTGTAGTTCCATGTGTGTCCCCCAGCCCAGATCTCCCGGAGAACGAAGCAACGTTTGCCATCAGCGCCGGTGGGGTGATCGATGCTAAGGAATAAGACGAATAACAAACAGATGACCGTATCAACTTGCAATTAATTGGAGTACATGGACATGTAGTAATAATATCATAATGACCTGTATGCACACGGCGAGAAATGGAGGGACGTTTGGTGATCCACGTTTCTGTGATATAACGCGGATTGGGAAGACTGGTGTGTGTATGGGGGTGCTTGTTCAAAGCTCGCTTCCTTCGTTTCTCGTGGAACACTATGATGCTTTTGAAAGAGAAGTTAGCTCGTTTTGCAAGTTAGTGTAACGGTACTTTTTCATGTAATGGGGTTTGAAAAAGACAAGATGTTGATATTAAGATTGTTTTATATAAATAGAAGTGAATGAACTGAACATTATAATGAATAATTATTGTTGACTTTTCATTTACCTGTTGTCTTTGGTGGAGTATAAGTGCATTTGTTTGTTGTTGTTTTTTCTTAATATATTTGTTTTCAAATTTTACTTTTATTGACCCCATGGGGAAATTTGGTTTATAAATTTACAGTGGAGTCCGCTTAAAGTGAACTCTTGTCTTTGGGACCAGAAGAACAGTGGCGGTGGGTGGACCAAGATTTGGGTGGGGCTTAGGTTTCTTCCACTTCTTTACCACCAAAACGCAAACAATAAGAACAAAACAGTGATGATTTTGCTATACTCACTGCGAGCCACGGCATTTTGAGAACCATTCAAACGCGAAGAGTCACCTTTGTCTTCCATCTCTTTGTT